CTCTGCCTCCCCAGCTCTTGGATTACAGAGGCGAGCCAAGTCTTTTTTGTAGGTGCTGGAGATCCAAACTCAGGTCCTCATTCTTGTGGGCCAAGGGCTTTAATAACTGAGCCATGCCCCCCAAACATTCTTTCTTGTGGGAGTGTCATATATATATCAATCTGTTGATTTCATTGGTTAATTAAATAAAGAAACTGCTTTCCCTGATAGGTTAAAACATAGGTGGGAGGAGTAAACAGGAGGAAGAGGAAGTGAGGTAAGACTCCTCGGACAGACTCGACAGCTCTGCTCTCTGGAGCAGAGGCCCTGCTTTGCTCTCCTGGGCATACGCGATGAAGCTCCGACTCAGGATGGACGTAGGCTAGAATCTTCCCGGTAAGCGCACCTTGGGGTGCTTACACACATCATTAGAAATGGGCTAGTCCAGGTGCGAGAATTAGCCTAGAAGAGGCTAGATGGAAATGGGCCAAGCAGTCTTTAAATGAATACAGTTTGTGTGTTGTTATTTAGGGCATAAGTTAGCAGGCGGCTGGGGTGCTGGGGACGCAGCCCCGCCGCTCTTATTTTAACACTTTCTGATGAATATTTATAAATCTAGTGAACAAAAATGAAAAGGCTAACACCACTTGAATAGAATTACTGCGGTTTCTCGTGGAAATATGGAGTGTTTTTTCCCCCCAAGAGATTTTCTTTTTCCATTTATGGGAAACCATCCTCATAGAGAAATGGTTTCTTTTTTCTATTCTGGGGATGGAAATCAGGGTCTCACACATGCTAGGCACAGGCTGTAATGCCGAACTAGGCCTCCCCTCCCTGTCAGGCCCCATTTAAATTCTGTAATACCTTAAATTTCCTCAGCAGCTCCCGGCTCTGTCAAGGACAGAGGCATAATTCCCATGGTGGTTTCTGAATGGTCACCAGTATGCACCAGGGTAAATTCTGAGAGACAGAATTTCAAAAAAAACAAAACAAAACAAAATAAAAACAAAAAACCCTGTTGAGGGACTGGAGAGATGGCTCACCAGTTAGGAACTCTTGCTGTTCTTGCGGAGAAGCAGGGTTTAGTTTCCAACACACACATAGGGCAGTTCACAACTGACTGTAACTCCCTATCTAGCGAATCCTATACCCTCTTCTGGCTTCTGTGGCTACCTACAAACACAGCCATGAACACATACAATTGAAATAAATAATCTTTAAGAGAATACTGCCTTGAGTTCAAAACTACATTCCTGTTTAAAGAATCAAAATCAGATTTCATGGGATACACTCACTATACTCAAATTCACTTTATTTGTGCACGTCAATGGCTTGGGTATAGTTACATGGCAATACAACCATCACAGACTAGATATGTATTACAGTTCCTTAGAAGCCGTTTTTCTCTCCCAACTATCACAACGCTACAAGTCCCAGCTTTGTCTGTCACCCCAGCAGCCAGTGGTCCCGTGCTGATGTTATGACGTTCTTTTTAACACTAGGTATGAGCTGTTGTCCAGAAGAACTTCTCAAGCACATTCAGGGCCATAGTCTGTCCTTTGTAACTACAGCAAGTCCCAAACAGCCTCTGCAAGGATTCAGAGACGTAAGGCAATACCACACGCTTGCAGAAATCAGGGACCATTTCAACTAATTTAGTAACTTCAGTGGGGTGGCATACAGCATTATCAGTGACACTGACTTTAGACCATAGTAAGAGAGCCCTCCGCTCTGCGTTCTACACCAACTGTATGTTAAACTGTATGTCAGACAGGATCTGCAGGACTGAGATCTCGTACTCTCTTCTTTATACCATGATGTTTAGAATAGGGAATCTGTACCCAACCAACTTCTAGTCTGTTTGCACACTTTTGAGTAGGGCTCTGCTCTGGGTGTTTTCCATTTAGGTCCATAGAGTGTGACAAATTCCAGGTTAAGTGGGTGCCTAATGCTTGGATTTGTAGACTAAGGGTCCACAGTGATGCCCAAAGCCCTTTCAGTGCAGGTTAAAGGCCTGAGCAGGAGAAGGGATTGAAGGCTGAGAACTGGGGTTAGCTCTTACTGCACTGCCACACCCGTCAACAAGTCTGAGAATTCTAAACTGGAGCCCAAAAGTCCACATGTTTTATTTGTCAAGGTAGGAATGATAAAACATTTTAGTCAATAATTTCCTGCGCTGATCTTGAAATTTTCAATATTTAGTTATGTGGAATATGGTTCTTCCTTGTATGATTTCATTTCTCCTAAATGTTCAGAATAGGCAAATTCACAGGGACAGAAAAGAGATAAGCGGCTGACAGAGGCTAAGAGGGAGCAAAATGATGACTGACTGCTGTACCTTGTAGGTTCCTTGTTGAAATAGGGAGCGGCGGGGCTGCGTCCCCAACACCCCGGCCGATTGGCTAGCTCATGCCCGAAATAACAACACACAAACTGTGTTCATTTAAGAACTGCTTGGCCCATGAACTCTAGCCCTTACAGGCTAATTCTCGCACCTGGACTAGCCCATTTCTAATAATGCGTGTAAGCACCCCAAGGTGCGCTTACCGGGAAGATTCTAGCCTAAGTCCATCGTGGGTCTCAGCTTCATGCATCTGCCTCAGAGCGCAGAGCTATCGCGTCTACCCGAGAGAGCTGAGCATGGCGTCTCTCCGGAAGCAGAGCAGAGTCTGACCTCACTTCCTCTTCCGCCCAGAATTCTATTCTGTTTACTCCTCCCATCTATGTTCTAACCTATCAGGGCCAGCCAAGCAGTTTCTTTTATTGCTCAGCCAATGAAACCAACAGATTGATATGACACTCCCACATCAGTTCCTTCCTGGGGTGATGGAGAATTTAAGCCTGGTAAAGGATACAGTGTTATGAATACACTAAAGTCTACTGAGGTGTGCTTTTAAAAGATGAATTTTATAATTATCTGACTAGTTCAACTAAAGTATCTGTCATCTATATCACGACACAAAAACTAAAAATAATTTTGTTGAGTTTTTTTTTTTTTTTACTGAAAATCGAAACATTTCTGAAATTTGGATACAAAAGAATTTTAAGTGGCGTGCTGGTGAATCTGTGCATCTCTGAAGTGTATACATTTGCCTTTTGGTATGTAGCTCTGGATATCGATTGGTTTGCATATATATAAAAGTGTGTACATAGGACAAAAGTCATTCACTCTCCAGCAGACTGCAGTTGTGAGAGGAGAAACTAAGGCTGGATCGAGATGACGATGCAAAGGAATCTAGAAGTCATACCAGCTTTCTAGACATTTATGGTATATGTGAGTCTCTCTCTGTAGGGCTGGTCAGGGTGGTATGCAAAGTAATTCAACTATGTAATCTCACTTCTCCTAAATTGTTAATAAGATTTTAGGCTTTAGAGGATCTGCTAATATTGAAAATTTGACTGGATGTCCTCTAAGGTCCCTTCTAGATCCAACATCCCATGACTTTGCTATTTAAAAACATTTTTGCAAACATATTAACACTGTGTTTTGGAGTAAATCCAGTCAACACGCATATTTACAGTTTCTAATTTTTGTATGTAAGTGATTGAAGGACCTAGTCAACCTCCATCTTAGACTTAAAACCAATTATTATTTATTTATTTTAGTTTTTTGAGATGGGGTTTTTCTATAGCTTTGGAGACTGTCCTGGAACTCGCTCTGTAGACCAGACTGGCCTCGAACTCACAGAGATCCTCCTGTCTCTGCCTCCCCAGTGCTGGTATTAAAGGTGTGCACCACCAAGCCTGGCTAAAAGCCATCTTATAATAAAGACAAATTAGGTTCATTCCTATTTATCATTAAACCTTTGTTTCTCAAAGATTGGGCTATTGCCGGGCAGTGGTGGTAGATCTCTGTGAATTCGAGGCCAGTCAGGTCTACAAAACGAGTTCCAGGACAGCCAGTTCTGTTACACAGAGAAACCCTGTCTCAAAAAAATGAAAATAAAAACAAACAAAAAATTAGACTATTAGACTATTCCCCACCTGTAACCTTAACTATGAATGGTTTTGTACTGTGTTTCAGGATTTGCAATCATGTCTATTTCAAAAAGTTGTTTATAATTGTCTTGCAACCCTACCTTTGTTTCAAAAGGCTATATGACCATCTTGTTATGACTATCTCTTATGCCCACCTTTCAACTGTGTTTCTTTCAGGAGGTCGTTATGGCTAACTCCTTATACTTATGTGCTGCTCCTGTAACCCCGCCCATTTTGCCCACCAAATTCCGAATTTGGAAACCCCTACCCCTGCGCTCTATAAAAAACGTGTTTTCCTCACATCTAATGCTGACCTCTTGAAGCCCGCCTTACGGGGAGTTAGCCCGTGTATAAGAATAAATTTGCGGGGCTGGAGAGATGGCTCAGAGGTTAAGAGCATTGCCTGCTCTTCCAAAGGTCCTGAGTTCAATTCCCAGCAACTACATGGTGGCTCACAACCATCTGTAATGAGGTCCGGTGCCCTCTGCTGGCCTGCAGGTATACACACAGACAGAATATTGTGTAATAAATAAATAAATAAAAAAGAATAAATTTGCTTTAATTAATTTGGCTGCGATGGTTTGGGTCGTGGTCTTTCTCCTCCCATCTTAGGGATTAGCAGTGTCTTTAGGAAATGTTTTGGTGCTGCTTCTGCCTCCAAACTACCCTTCGGTTCAGCGGGTACCAGCGGAAGACAAAGACAAAAAGCTTCTGCCTCCAAACTACCCTTCGGTTCAGCGGGTACCAGCGGAAGACAAAGACAAAAAGCCAGACAGCCGGCAGCTATATAATTGAACCTAGACAAAACGGAAGTGGTTCTTAAAAATTATCTTCCCAAGAAACTTGCATATGAAATATACTTCCTAATTGCAATAGTAATTCTAAGTCGCCTTTCCCTACATTACATTCCTAAGCAGAGACACAACCACATTTTCGTCCTCAGCACAAAGATCTGTTCCCTTAAGAAGAATGTCTCTTCTTGCGGTGGAAACGCACGGAACCAAGAAGCTGCGAGCACTGGTTCTCCGGCGAGCTCTTGTCATCGAAGGACCAGCCTCCTGGCCGCGTTGCCGTGGAGACGGAGCTCGCTGTGTAGATGTGGCAACTGGCCGAGACACAGCCTTTGCTGACTATCTGAGGCAGGGGCTCACGGGACCGACGCCAAGATGGTTAGTAGCTTTGAATAGTAAGGGGAACTTCAAATAGGTTTTTACCCGGGCTTAGAGCCCCCAGCACACTATTGGATAGAATCTAGGTGTGTCTCCAGGGGCCGATCCCTTTATCCCTGCAGTGTTTCCACGGGGAATAGCGAGGGATGCAAAGAAAAATACCCCGATGCTGTCTTCCCTTCTGCTTCTCCATTTCCGACACCAGATCTGCTTGTGGACAGAGGGAAGACAGAGATGGTAGAAGCTGCGGGAAGTGTTCGTCTCTTGTGGATAAGTAGATGGTTGTGGATAAGTAGTTAGAAGTAGTTATTTGACTCCCCTTCAGTAGAAGGTGATGGCTCTTTTAGTAAAATGCGTGTTTAAAAAGAATCTGAATAGACTTACTAGTGTTTGTTGCTAAGGATTTGACTTGTAAATCACAGCGCTCAATTTAAAAATGACTTTTGAGTTGAACCGTCTTTGCTGCTTGATTTACAGATGCTTTCAAGAGCCAAACCCGCTGTGGGCGGGGAATCACCGCACACTGACAAAAGAAAGAAGAAAGGCAGGAAGATTCCAAAACTAGAAGATCTGCTTTCGCAAAGAGATTTCACTGGCGCTATTACTCTTTTGGAGGTAATGTCAAAGAAGGGTTAAGTCTGGTGAATGAATGTTGGTTACTATGCTATTGCAATAGGCGGGTACATTCTGGGGAATCCAAGTAAATACAGCCAGACATGTATCCAGACTCTGAGTTAACTATAAACCTGATAAAACAGAAAAAGTTTTGGACTGGAAAGATGGCTTGAGAGTTAAGAGCATTGGCTGCTCTTCTAGAGGACCTTGATTCCCAGCACCCCCATGTCTGCTCACAACCATTAGTAACGCCAGGGGATCGGAGGTGTTTTGACCTCCTTCAGCACCAGGAATACATATGGGGCATAGAAAGAGATGAAGACAAAACACTCATACACTTAAAACTATTTTTCTCTAGTCCCACAGATGGTGAATCTAACCTAAAAATACAACATTACATATAATACAGTGTAAATTCACACATTCTTTGTCTTAATTTCTGAGTGATTTATAACTTCTTCCTATAATAGTATTTCGCTTATAAAAATTAAGTGATCATTGGGCCAGGTGGTGATGGAGCAAACCTTTAATCCCAGCACTCGGGAGGCAGACAGGGAGGCAGGATCTCTGTGAGTTCGAAGTCAGCCTGGTCTACAGAGCGAGTTCCAGGGCATACTCCAAGGCTACAGAGAAAACCTGTTTCAAAAAAAAAAAAAACCCAAAACAAAACAAAATGCAAAAAGAAAGAAAGAAATTAAGCAGTTGTGCTAGATTTATTTTAAAAAAATATTGTAAACTCATAAAGAATTTTAACCCTATATGTCAGTGTCATCTTTTTATCTTTTTCTGGAATCAATGCTGGGGATCAAATTTGGGGCCTTAAGTAAGCATTCTGTCATGGTTCTACCCCGAGCCCAGTCCCAGCATGTAGACTTCACCTTTTAATATGCATTGGAGGTGCCAAGGATAGTTACTTAGACTTTTGTAGACCTAGGCTCCTGTGTTACCAGTGTGAATCCACTAGGTCTGCAGTTGTGCTCAGGAAGCTGCATTTTGGGTACATAGTCTAAGAAGTCCTTCCGACACAAACTGTCCTAGGAGACTGAAGAACCCACGTGTGGAAAGCACAGCAGCGAAGAGTGAAGGGTGCACCAAAGGGTAAAGTGTTCCGACAGCATGGTCTGCTTGTGCTGCACTGCACTTTCTACTGGTCCTTTAGTGTACATCTATAGTCCTGCGTCTTTGAAAATGTCCATAGTAATTGCTCTGATTAGCTTTATGTATGTTTCTCAGTATTTCATACAAAAAAAAATCCCATTTGTCTTACTAATGCTTTGATATTGAGTCCAGTTGTTTGGCTTTCTTGCGTCAACTCTCATCTTTTGCAGTAGGACTTGGAAGGATCTAGCAGTGCAAGTCAGAGGACTGAATATCATATACATGTCCTTTCTTTTTCCTTCGAGACAGAGTTTCTCTGTGTAGTGCTGGCTGTCCTGGAACTCGATCTGTAGACCAGGCTGGCCTTGAACTCAGAGATCCTCATGTTGCTGCCTCCCAGATGCTGGAATTAAAAGCGTGCACCCCCTACTCAGCTACATGTCTATTAATTTCTTAAGAATTTATAAAATGATGTGTAGTTGTTTGTGTCGGTGTGTGCATACGTGTGCCTGAATGCAGCTCCCCACAGAGGCCAGAAGAACTGGATCCCCTGGAGCTAGAGTTACAGAAAGTTGTGAACTGTCTTATGAGGGTGCTGGGGACTGAACTTGGGTCCTCTAGGAGAGCAGCTAATGCATAGTACACATAATTCAAAATAAAATACCGGGGCTGACTAAAGATGAAAACAAAGCAAAACCAAAACAATACAAAACAAAAAAGCTTAGAGGAGGAGGAGGTTTTTCCATTTATAATTCCTTGTGACAGCCCATACTGAGAGAAGGCAGGGTAGAAATTTGAAGTCAGGCCTGCTTGCAATTCTATTCAGTATTACCTCTGTCCAAGGAACTCAGTTTTCAACCAAAGAAGCACTGTATTTATTTATTTATTTGCTGCTGCTGCTGTTGTTGTCATTATTGTTGTTTTGAGACAAAGTCTCTACGTAGACCAGGCTGGCCTTAAACAATAGAGCAGGCTGGTCTTGAACTCATAGAGTTCCACCTGCCTCTGCCTCCTAAGTGCTGGAATTAAGGACATGTGCCACCATGCCCAGCTCCCTACATTGCTTTGCTCAGGGTCTTTATCACAGCAATGGAAATGAAAGTAGGGCACGTGGTAATTGAGAACCCTTCTCAATTCTTTCCTCTGTAGTAAAACTCCTTTTTTGTTAGGTGAGAAATCCTTAAGTTTTTGTAGTGGACACAAAGAAGACTGTCTCTGTACACCTTTAACTCATCTGGTCTATAAACTAGCCTGATCAAGCTAATGGGATGTTTTCCATTAGGAGCTATTCATTAATGCATGTGTGCTAATAGGATAAGATGGATGTGTAATACTGAATACAGTAGAACCCAGTGATGGGAGCCTGAGCTTTGGAGGCAGATGTGAATTTAAGTCCCCATTCCCACAGGGACAGAGGCTGACAGTGCTATCTGAGAACCATTGCTTGGCCTCTAACCTTCAGTTATTTGGCTTTAAATTTTTTTTTTCTTGAGACAGGGTCTCTTTGGTAGCCCTGGCTTCCCTGGAACTCACTCTGTGGACTAGGCTGGCCTCAAACTCACAGAGATCCTCATGCCTCTGTCTCCCGAATGCTAGAATTAAAGGCGTTGCACCACCACTGCCCAGCTTGCTTTAAATGTTTTACATAATTCTTGAACATCATCCAGAATTATTACATAACTCACATACTTTCTGGAATAAGGTGCTAGCAAACACAGAAAAACAAATCAAACATATCTGAAACAAAGGATTTCTGTGACAAGTAGGTGACAGCTGACACCTGTCAGTGGAGGTGTCATTGACCTGCATATGGTTCAGCTTCTGTTGTTTACCATTTTACCTGTTTATCAGCCACTCAGCATACCTTTAAAAAATAAAAACAAGCCAGGTGGTGGTGGCACACGTCTTTAATCCCAACACTCAGGAGGCAGAGGCAGGCAGATCTCTGTGAGTTTGAGGCCAACCTGGTCTAGAGAGTAAATTCCAGGACAGCTAGAGCTGTTACACAGAGAAACCCTGTCTCAAAAAGCCAAAACAAACAAACAAATAAGTAGGTAAAAGCCAAAGCGTTTACTATTAAAATATTTTTTTCCTAATTTTTTTGCATGACATTTTAATATGAAGTTCAAACGCCATGTCGGGGAGCAAGAAGACGACACTAACTTGTGGATTGGATACTGTGCTTTTCACCTGGGTGACTACAAGAGAGCTTTGGAGGTCAGTGGAGACAAAGTCAAGTGGTGTCTAAGATGACATTATATGGTACATTCTCATAGTAACAGCAGAAGGAAATAATGCAGATGGAAACAGAGGAAAGAAATTGGCCTATCTGCCTTCCCCAGTCCTACGTCTTTTAATTAAAACCTCACTGACCCTTCCTAAGGTACGGATTCAGAGAGGGGTGGGGACGGTAACAGCACTTATGTGATATTGTTGTGGGAGTCTTTCTGGAATAAGCACTCTGACACCAGTGAGGAAATGTCCCGGGCGGACTGAAGCCAGAACACTTCTGAGCGGTCCAGTGTGCATTCTCCTTTCATACTCCAAAACTGTAAGGGTGCAGGTAAGTTAGCAACAGATACTGCCATGGCTGTCAGTGGCTGTCAGCAGGTTGTTAGGGGCAACAACAGCCCATGATTTCAGTGTGTGGCAGATGGCTGCACAAGCCATGCTTTAAGTAGATCACTAAATAAATAAGATAAATGATCTTCTCTAACTTATTCTACTTCAGTATGAATGTTTAAGGGAAAACGTCTGTGGGTGGGAGTGTTTAGAGGGTGTGCAGTGGGAAGTCAGAAGGTAGCTGGAGGAGGAGGTGGGGCTCAATCAAAAGGATCAATGAACGCGCTTTAGAGAAACCTGCTAATTTGTAACTTAATTTAAAAAGATAAGCTGGGGGGGGGGGCTGGAGAGATGGCTCTGTGGTTAAGAGCACTGACTGCTCTTCCAGAGGTCCTGAGTTCAATTCCCAGCAACCACATGGTAGCTCACAGCCATCTGTAATGAGATCTGGTGCCCTCTTCTGGCCAGCAAGCATATAGATAGACAGAACACTTTACATATAATAAATAAATAAATCTTAAAAAAAAAAAAAAAAGATAACCTAGGGCTGGAGAGATGGCTCGGAGGTTAAGAGCACTGCCTGCTCTTCCAGAGGTCCTGAGTTCAATTCCTATGGTGGCTCACAGCCATTTATAATGAGGCCTGGTGCCCTCTTCTGGCCTGCAGGGATACACACAGGCAGAACATAACAAGTAAATAAATCTCTTTTTTTTTTTTTTAAAAAAAGATAACCTGGGTGGTGGTGGTGCACAATTTTAATCCCAGCACTTGGGAGGCAGAGGCAGGTGGATCTCTGTGAGTTTGAAGCCAGCCTGGTCTAAAGAGCTAGTTCCAAGACAGCCAGGGCTTTTACACAGAGAAACCCTGTCTCAACACCCCCCCACACACATTTTTTTTAAACAATAAAGAGACAGATATTTATAGATATATAAAATAAAATGCTTGTATAAAACCCACAAAACAAAGAACATGTGTAGCATTCCAATATAATGTCTGAGTATTTAATATATTTGTTAGTATTATTTTTGTATAATGGAAGTTATTATTATGAAATAGTTTTAATTAAACTCCAAAAATAACTTTATAAAAAGGAGAAAAACTCTCCCTATATGATCTGGCATGTGAGTCTGTATCTTATTTGCCCTTCACTTTTACATGTGTGCTAGAGACCAGTATTAGCATGAGACTGGACTCAGGGCCCTCACATGCCAGGTGGGTGTTTTGTCATTGAGTATTTCTTATTTCTTTAATTTTTTTTGATTTATTTACTTTATTCTGTGGGTGTGAGTATTTTGCTTGCATGCGTATATGTGAACCAAGCGCATGCTTGGAACCTGCAGAGTCCTGAAGGGGACACTGGATCTCCTGGAACTAGAGTTACAGCTGACTTTAAACCATCTTGTGGGTTCTGGGAATCGAACCTGTGTCCTCTGCAAGAACAGCCAGTTCTCTTAGCCTTCTCTCCAGAAGCCCTATCTGTCTTTTTAAGTTAGCAAAACTATTGCAGTTGTTTTAATTTCTGAAGGGTTCTAAGACATATTAGCAATGAGGAAGAAACAAAGCGTAAGTTCGGTGTACAAGAGCCCTGCTGGGTGGAATCACACGGAGCCTAACCTCTTCTGGCAGGGGACGGGGGAGGAGATGTGGATCCCCAAAGTGTCAGCTGCTCTCTCTGTGAGAACCTCCTTTATTGTAGAAAATGGACAGTTGCTTTACTGTTAAGTGAGGCCGTCACCTGCTGTCTGTTTCAGGAATATGAAAACGCAACGAAGGAGGAAAACTGTAACCCAGAAGTGTGGGTAAACTTGGCCTGCACCTACTTTTTTCTTGGGATGTATAAACAAGCAGAAACTGCTGGGTTTAAAGGTAAAATGGGCTTTTTATATTCATTTTTGCCATAATATCTCTGTCCGTTGTTACATCTCCTACTCTTTCTATGATCAGGGTTTGCCATGTGCCTGTATTTATTTTGGCTCTAAAGCGTGTGTCTTATAGATATGTCAATTTAGAGCTGAAGCTTTGTTTTATTTTTAATTCCAATCTGACAATCTCTGTTTTTTTTTTTCCTGGGTGCTGGAGGCTTAGCCCAGACTGACCCAGTGCTTGTTGGCCAAATACTCTACCACAGAACTAAACTTCAACCCCAACACTAGATTTGAGAGCTATTTAGAACACCTCAAGTAGTGGATTTGATCAGTTCTGTCTTTAAAGAGAGTTAGTTACCTTATCCTCACCCTTTGTCCCTTGCCCCAACACGAGAAACAAGCAGATGAGAGAAGAAAGGGAGCAAGGTGGCTTACAAGGCTCCACAGGTGGACTTGAGATGAGGGTGTGTTTAGGAGCCTCAGGTCAAGCTGCTGGACTGTGGGGTTTATTGCTCACAACGAGAAGCCGGAAAAGCTGGCCTAAAGATCCTCACCTGAAGAGACCAGCAGGCTTCGCTTTGACCTTAGAAACCTGCCGGAGTAATCTCAGAAGAATTGTATTCAGACTTGCAAGTAAGAGGGAGGGGCACAGAAGAAAAAAAATAAGGATAATAAGAACACAAATCAAATGGAATATAAAGAAATATAGAGAAAGTGGGCAAGGGAATATTGATTAACATGCTGTTAGGAAGGTGGCGGTAGTGTCACTTGCCTTTAATCCCAGCACTCAGGAGGCAGAGGCAGGAGGATCACTGTGAGTTCAAGGTCAGCCTGGTCTACAAGAGCTAGTTCCAGGACAGGTTCCAAAGCTACAGAGAAACCTGTCTCAAAAAATCAAAAAAAAAAAACAAAAAAAAAAAAAACTGGAATTTGGAAGGTTCCAGCCTTTTTTCTTGGGTGACTGTTTAAGGGTGGCACTTATCTGTGGTTAGAAGTCCCTGAAGTAGAGAGGACTGGTATCTAGGAAAACGTGACAGTATAATTCTGGAATTAGGAGAATGTGGGAGTGTACTTCTAGGAAAGGAGATTTCAGGAAGAACTGAGAAAGAACACTGGGGTGAGCAGAGAACTGGGTGGCAGCATATGTGCTCTGAGGTGACACGCAGTGTGTGGGTTAGTGTGTGGACAGCGCAGAGGTGGGCTGCACCGTGTGGGTGTGTGAAGCCTTGTGCTGTGGGTACAAGTAGAGAACAGACCCTTAGGACAAGCCTCCTCTGGCTCTCCTGTGGGACTGCCCCTGCAGGTGGGCCAGACTGGTTATTCTAGCAAACACACACAGCTAGAGAAGGATTTGTGGCGGCCCACCTGAGCCTCATCTCATTCCGGCAAGGGACTAACTTTCATAGACTATTGATTTAGTTTTTATTTTTATGTGAGTGCTTTGCTTGAATGGGCTCTTGGTGGCCAGAAGAGAGCCCAAGATCTCCTGAAACAGGAGTCTGTAAACTTGTGAATGCTTGGAACTGAACCTGGATCCTCTGCAAGAGCAACAAGTGCTCTTAACCTCTGAGTCATCTCTTCTATTGCTGTGGGATAATGCTCTTGTATCCTATAAAGATTTGTCACAATATTGGTTTAATAAAACATTGATTAGCCAGTAGCCAGGCAGCAAACATAGGCTGGGCTACCAGACTAGGAGAATTCTGGGAAGAGGAAAGGCTCAGTCTGCAGTTGTTTCCCAGATGCAGAGGAAGCAAGATGAAAATGCTATACTGTGCGGGACCACTGGCAGTGGCACCAGGATTTGTCCCTCCTGCCTGTGTTGGCATTTTGGAACCCATTCTCTTTGGATGGATACCTTGCACAGCCTAGATATAGTAAGTAGGGAGTGCCTTGGTCCTTTTTTAAAGCAATGTGCCTTACTCTCTCTGAGGAGTGGATGGGATGGGAGGAGGTGAGGGAGTGGGAACTGGGATTGGAATGTAAAATAAAAAAAGATAGTTTGTTTTCTTTTTTAGAAAAAGAAAATGCTGCATTGAGAAAAAGTACCAAGCCATATGACTAAAAATGGATAAGAATTATGGGTTAATCTAAATTGTAAGAGCTATTTAATAATAAGCCTGAGCTAATAAACCTAACAGTTTATAATTAATATAAGCCTCTGTATGTTTCTTTGGGACTGAACAGTTGCAAGACTAAGTGGGACAGAAACTTCTGTCTACAAACTATGGGATTCTTTACCAAGCAACATGCTTCTTTTTTTTTTTTTTCTTTTTTTTCTTTTTCAGCTCCAAAAAGCCGGCTCCAAAACCGCCTGTTGTTCCATCTGGCTCACAAGGTATTCATATTCTCACTTCACACCACTTGCTTTAAAATCATTTTCCCTTTTCTTCCTTTGCCAACAGTGATGGAAAATATTTAATAGACATTTCTGTTAATGTTACTAAATTGTCTTACAGAAAGTTAATCAAGTCATTGACAAGTAGCATAAAAATATATTCAATTCATTTAAAAATTTCACAATATAATTTTTGTTATTATTATCTTACAGTGTTAAGAATTAAACTCAGGGTTGGAATGTGGTAGTGCACACCGTTAACCCCAGCACTTAGGAGGCAGAGACAGGCAGATCTCTCTAAGTGTGAGGCCAGCCTGGTCTACAGAGTGAGTTCTAGGATGTTCAGGGCTATTATACAGAGAAACCCTGTCTCAAAAAATTAACAACAATGAAAAGAATTAAACCCAGGGTCTTGTGCATGTTAGGCAAATGCTCTGCCACTGAGCTATATCCAGTGCCCTTGGCTTTTTGAGATCAAGTCTTGCAATGTTGTACAAGCTGAACTGAAACTTGCTGCAAAGCTAAAGATGACCTCAAACACGTAGGGCTCCTGCCTTAGCCTCCCAGTGCTGGGGTTACACCACACCCAGGTCCAGAGCTGTGTCTGACTGCTTGTTTCCATTTGTCCCAAATGATCAGAATTCCGTCTTCTCGCCTTTCTTGTATTCGTCTTGTATTGATCTTTAAAAATTCCATAGTTGTCCTCTGTTAGCGTGCTACTCTGCATATTTTATAGTACCTTAGCAGTTCCTACAGCAGATGCCATTTACATTATTGAAGTTCTTTTGGTTGTTGAGGGTTTTCTTTTGTTTTTGTCTGTGTTTTTCAATATAAGGTTTCTCTGTATAGCCCTGGAACTCATTTTGTAGATCAGGTTGTCCTCAAACTCTAGATCCACCTGTCTCTGCTTCCTGAGTGCTGGGATTAAAGGTGTGCACCACCACCACCCAACCTATATTATTTTTTGAGAAAATTTCTATTTTTTTCTTTTTCTTTTCTTTTTTTCTTTTTCTTTTTTTTTGAGACAGGATTTCTCTGTAGCTTTGGAGCCTGTCTTGGAACTAGCTCTTGTTGCCCAGGCTGACCTCGAACTCACCGACATCTGCCTACCTCTGCCTCCCGAGTGCTGGGATTAAAGGTGTGCTCCACCACCATTTTGGAGAGAAAATTTCTTATTAATCTTCCTGTAACCATGTCTACTCGTTTATTAAATCCATCTATTTAGATCTTTTTTATTGATACTTATTAATACATTTCTCTCTGCTCCCTTCCTGCCTCTCCCCTCTCCCCTTCAACCCTCCCCCAAGATCCCTATGTTCCCAATTTACTCAGGAGATCTTGTCTTTTTCTACTTTCTACTTCCCATGTAGATTAGATCTATGTAAGTCTCTCTTAGGGTCCTCATTGTTGTCTAAGCTCTCTGGGATTGTGGTTTGTAGGCTGGCTTTCTTTGATTTATGTTCAAAAACCACCTATGAGTGAGTACATGTGATAATTGTCTTTCTGTGTCTGGGTTACCTCACTCAAAATAATGTTTTCTAGCTCCATTCATTTTCCTGCAAAATTCAAGCTGTCTTTATTGTTTTCTTCTGTGTAGTATTCCATTGGGTAATTGTACCACATTTTTCTTATCCATTCTTTGATCAAGGGCATTTAGGTTGTTTCCAGGTTCTAGCTATGGCAAACAAAGCTGCTATGAACATAGTTGAGCACACGTCCTTATGGCACAATTGAGCATCCTTTGGATATATACCCAAAAGGGGTATTGCTGCGTTTTGAGGAAGATTGTTTCCTAATTTTCTGAGAAATCGCCACACTGACATCCAAAAGGGGCTGTACCAGCTTGCAATCCCACCAGCAATACAGGAGTGTTCCCTTTACCCCACAACCTCTCCAGCATAAGTTGTCATCAGTGATTTTGATCTTGGACATTCTTACAGGTGTTAGATGGAATCTCAGAGTTGTTTTGATTTGCATTTCTCTGATGACTAAGGATGTTGAACATTTTCTTAAGTGTCTTTCAGCCATTTTAGATTTTTCTGTTGAGAGTTCTCTGTTTAGGTCTGTATTCCATTTTTTTTATTGGATTATGTGTTCTTTTGGTGTCCAATTTCTTGAGTTCTTTGTATATTTTGGAGATCAGACCTCTGTCTGATGTGGGGTTAGTGAAGATTTTTCCCATTCTGGAGGCTGTCGTTTTGTCTTGTTGACTGTGTCCTTTGCTTTACAGAAGCTTTTCAGTTTCAGGAGGTCCCATTTATTGTTTCTCTCAGTGTCTGTGCTGCTGGGATTATATTTAGGAAGTGGTTAACTGTGCCAATGCGTTCAAGTGTACTTCCCACTTTCTCTTCTATAAGATTCAGTGTGGCTGGCTTTATGTTGAGGTCTTTGATCCATTTGGACTTGAGTTTTGTGCATGGTGATAGATATGGGTCTATTTTCATTCTTCTACATGTTGATATCCAGTTATGCCAGCACCACTTGTTAAACGTGCTTTATCTTTTCCATTTGATATATTTTGCTTCTTTATCAAAGATCAGGTGTTCAAAGATGTGTGGATTGATATCCGGGTCTTCTATTTTGTTCCATTGGTCCTCCTGTCTGTTCTTCTGCCAAACCAAGCTGTTTTCAGTACTGTAGCTCTGTAGTAGAGTTTGAAATCAGGGATTGTGATGCCTCCAGAAGTTCTTTTATTGTACAGGATTGTTTTGGCTATTCTGGGTTATTGTTCTTTCGAGGTCTTTGAAGAATTTTGCTAGGTTTGATGGGCATTGTGTTGAATATGTAGATTGCTTTTGGTAAGATTGCCATTTTTACTATGTTAATTCTGCCTACCCAAGAGCATGGGAGATCTTTCCACTTTTTGGTATCTTCTTCAATTTCTTTCTTCAAAGATTTAAAGTTCTTGTCATACAAGTCTTCCACTTGTTTGGTTAGAGTTACTCCGAGATATTTTATGCTATTTGTGGTTATTGTGAAGGGTATTGATTCTCTGATTTCTTCCCCAGCTTTTGTAAATGGAGTGGCAGCCCGCTTCCTGCTGCCCGGTTTCCAGCTAGCTTTACCTGAAATAATTACATGGAAACTGTATTCATTTAAACACTGCCTGGCCCATTATATTTAGCCTCTTCTTGGCTAATTCTTACATCTTACTTAACCCATTTTTAATAATCTGTATATCACCACATGACTGTGGCTTACCAGGATGAGTCTAACCTATGTCCATCTCGGAGAAGAGAGCCATGGCGTCTGCCACACTGCCTTCTTTCTCCCAGCATTCTGTTCGGTCTATTCCACCTATCTAAAGTCTGCCCTATCAAAAAGCCAAGGCAGTTTCTTTATTTAACCAATGAAAGTAACACATAGGCAGAAGACCCTCCTACATCACCCAGCCCTTTTATCATCTGTGTACAGGAGGGCTTCTGATTTTTTTGAGTTAATCTTGTATCCTGCTACATTGCTGAAGGTGTCTATGAGTTGTAGAAGTTCCTTGGTAGAATTTTTGGGATAACTTGTATAAACTACAATATCATCAGCAAACATCTACTTAGTTCTTAATTTTGGTTGTGATAGAGCATTTATCTGGCATGCATGAAGCCCAGACTTTCTTCTCCAGTATCACATAAGCACATGTGTCTACAAATGTACATACATACGACACATACCTGTAGTATATCTGTGATCAAACTTCAAATCCATTTCAGAATTTATTTATTTACATTTTTTTGCTTTTTTTTAAGACATGGTTTCTATGTAGCACTGGCTGCCCTGGAACTTGATCCTTAGACCAGGTTGGCCTTGAACTCACAGAGATCCACCTGCCTCTGCCTCCCAGTGCTGAGATTAAAAGTGTGTGACATCACTGCCTGACCAGAATGTAATCTCTTTTAGAGACACAGTTGGGTTTATTAACTGCAGAAACAAAGGGAGAGAGTGAGAAAACATAAGCATAAAACGCACTTCCTATAGAACAAGTGCGGGCTTCTCAAGGGAGAGACTTAGAGTGATGTCATGGTGTGTCTAAAGTTTGATAAGAAATCTTTCTCTTCCTTTGACGTTATGACCAAGGAAACTCTTAGAAAAGACAGTATTTTTGTGTGGGGGAGGTTTCTGCATTGTCACAAGGTTAATTTGTGATCATCATGGTGAAGGCAGGCAGGCATGGCACTGCAGTGTATCTGAGAGCTTTACATCCTGATCAGAGACAGCAGTCAGCCAGGCAAAGACCTGGCTCGGGCTTGTGAAACCTCGAAACTCACCCCTAGCGATACACTCACTCAAAGCCACACCTACTCCAACAAGGCCACACCTCCTTATCCATCCCAAACAGTTTCACCAAGCAGGGGACTAAGCATTCAAACTTGAGCCTGTGGGGGCCACTCTCATTTAGACCACCACACCCACTGAGGGCAGTTCTCTTTAGTCCTTGGTGTTTGAGACAGATCCTTTAAAGGAAAGAGTTAAGGAAGCAGGAGAGATGGTAGAGCTGTTAAGAACACTGGTTGCAGAGGGCCTGTGTTTAGTTCCCAGAACCCATGTGGCAGCTCACAGTTACAGTTCTCTAGTTCCAGAGGATCCAGCGTCCTCTTTTGTCCTCCATGGCACTGAATGTACATACATATATTCTGGGGATCACCTATACATTTAAAAATAAGATAAATAAATCTTTTTTAAAAATAAAAAGTTTTGGGGGCTGGAGAGATGGCTCAGTGGTTAAGAGCATTGCCTGCTCTTCCAAAGGTCCTGAGTTCAATTCCCAGCAACCACATGGTGGCTCACAACCATCTGTAATGAGGTCTGGTGCCCTCTTCTGGCCTGCAGACATACACACAGGCAGAATATTGTATACATAATAAATAAATATTTTTTTAAAAAAAGTTTGGAATCATCAGGAAGGAGTGAAGAATAGTCTGTATCAAGAGTTACTTACAAAATATATCAGTTTGATCCTATGTATAAACAAAGGCAGTTGTTATTTATAGCTACCTTTTAATAAAATAAGCATAAAAATTAAATTCTGATAGCCTGAAACAACAACCACATGTAGTAACTGAAGAGACGATAAAAACAGAAAATTAAATATTGTACTCATGAAGTTACATGATGATAAATACATTTTTTTTTTTTTTTTGGTTTTTTGAGACAGGGTTTCTCTGTGGCTTTTGAGCCTGTCCTAGCACTAGCTCTGTAGACCAGGCTGGTCTCGAACTCACAGAGATCCGCCTGCCTCTGCCTCCCGAGTGCTGGGATTAAAGGCGTGCGCCACCATCGCTGGCGACAAATACATTTTGATTACATACTTCACCAAAGAAAAAGAAATACAACTGGGCAGTGGTGGCGCACGCCTTTAATCCCCGCACTTAGGAGGTAGAGGCAGGCAGATCTATGTGACTTCGAGGCCAGCCTGATCTACAAGAGCTAGTTCAGGGACAGGCTCCAAAGCTACAGGGAAACCCTGTCTTGAAAAACCAAAGAATGGGAAAGAATTGTTAAGTGGTGAGGGCAAAGAAATATAAGGCAGAAATATAAAGCGAAGAAATGAGTAGGGTGTTGATATCAAGTAATCAATCATAACTGTAACTTAGGACATTTCCACTGCCAAGACTCTATCTCCAGAGATGACTCATCCTTTCACTACAACAGGACCAAGAGAACAGGGGCTAGGAGAAGGAGGAAGTGGAGACACAGAGGCCAGAGAGGATTGAGGCCTCTGTCACTGAGATCCTCTCTCATATGAGTGTGACTCTGTGCATGTCTTTTCTCACCATTGTAGTTTAATGATGAGAAGAAATTGATGAACTTTCATCAGAATCTTCAGGATATTAAAGAAGACCAGCTTAGTTTGGCCTCAATCCACTATATGCGATCCCATTACCAAGAAGCTATTGATATATACAAGCGGATACTGCTGGATAACAGGTCTGTGCTCTTTCCTGCCCTCATTGAAATCTCTGCCGTTTTATTAGTTTCTTTTGTGTTTAATTTGGTTAAGAACCTAGTGTCCTCTGGACCTAGTACCACCACGTATTCAAGGCTCTTTCGTTGCTAATCTGACGAGGTTAAAAACTCCTTGGATATTGTTCATATCAGACTGTCGCCACCCTTTTTCTTTTGTTGCTTTCATTTTTAATTTTACTATTTTATGTGTATGTGTGTTTCACCTGCAAGTATGTTCACCAAATGTGTGTCTGGTATCTGCGGAGGCGTTACATGTTACCGTGTGGGTGCTGAGAACTGAATTTGGGTGCTCTGGGAGAGGAGCCCGTGCTCTTAACCATTGGGCCTTCTCTCCAGCCCCTTGTTTTTTGAGACAGGTTCTCACTTTGTAGCTGTCCTGGACCACTTGTGTAGGCTAGATTGACCTTGAGTTTACAGAGAGCCACCTGCTTCTTCCTTCCAAGTACTAGGATTAAAGGCATGTGCCTTTTTCAATACCATTTCTTCTTTGTAATGAGCCTGTATTGAAATTTTTCCCTCCCAATTTTCCAGAGAATTTATATACTGACATATTTACTGATAACTTTGTGTGTGTTTATATAAAATGAGTGTGGTTTTATATAAATTGAGTGTTTTTTCACCCTCTCATAAGAATCATTTTCTACCCATTGGAAATGATAATGCCGTTTTTGAAAAATTATGGCCTTGGAGGAAGAAAAATTATAACAAATATAAGGATTCATATATATGTCAATATCATAATGAAATCTGTTACTTTGTATGCTATATTTAGAAATTATAATAATTTATAAGATAGTAACAAAAGAATACATTATTTAAGGCTGGACATGACAGCATACTACTGTTATTGTATTAGACTACTAGCATGCTAGGCAAGATTGCCTACTAGGGAAATAGTGGTTTAAATGTTAGGGGGCAACCACCTGCTTTCTGATTGGATTTGAAGCCTGTTCCTTAGGGAGAATTCATTTAAAGTACTATAAAACTGGATAAAAGCCCATTACTAGGGGCTGGAAAGATGGCTCAGCAGTTATGATAACTGGCTGCTCTTCTAGAGGTCCTGAGTTCAACTCCCAATACCCACATGGTAGCTTAAAACCGTGCGATGAGATCTGGTGCTTTCTTCTGGCCTGCAGTCATACATGCAGGCAGAACACTAAATATATAATAAATAAATAAATACATCTTAAAATAAAAACCCATTACTATAAAAGTCATTGGCCCTAGTAGAGAAGCTACTGCTGTTTTTCTAAAGGGACATGATGCACCTCTTAAATTGCCTTTTGAATGTTTATGTTTATACCCATAGATTAAGTGCTATTGTCAGCTTGGCCATAAAAACTCCTTTTAGTGAGTGGCATTAACTATAGATACTCATAGCAAGTCAAAAAGGTTTTCTCTAAGTGAAACATCTTTATCACTCCCTCAAAGGCTCAGAGAGCATTAAGGAAGAGAGAGTGGAAAGAATATAAGAGGAAAGGGTGATAGTTGAAGAACACACTACCTTCTGGGCATTCTTGAATACGCAGCACCATGATTCTTTGCACAAGATTGGGCCTTTATCATTCCAAGGTGGAAGAGGGGGTGCTCACAAAACCCTGTCCTCTGAGGACTTATAGACAGTTAATGGTTGCTGGGGAAGAGAGGCTTATGAGACTTCACCTGAGGAGACAGAAGCAGTTAATAGTGCTTGCAGGAGAGGGGGACATTTTCTACAGTAGTTATGTGTAGGCAGAAGTTTCTGTCCCACCAGCAGCTCCCAAATGAACACACTTAGGCGTATATTAATTATAAATGCTTGGCCAATAGCTCAGGCTTGTTACTAGTTAACTCTTACATTTAAATTAACCCATATTTCTTACCTACGCTTTGCTATGAGGTTTGGTATCTTTTCTCAGTACGGCATACCCATCTTGCCTCTTTCTGTCTCCGCTGGTGACTTCCAGACTCCATCCTTCTTCCTCCCAGCATTCTCAGTTTAGCTCTCCCACCTAACCTTATCCTGTTCAGCTATTAGCCAGTCAGCTTCTTTATTAAACCAGTCTCAGCAACATATATTCGCTCAGTGTAAAGGAATATTCTACAGCTATGTACACGCTGGAAGGCATGCTCCTATAAATAACCCCTTACCCTTGCCTCTATACGTAACCCTAATTAAATTCATTGGCTCACGCACACATATGAAGACATATAAAAGGGAGACTGGTAGAAAAGAGAAAGGGATGAGTGGGAGTGGGAAGGGCATAAGAGAGTATAAAGGGGGGGTGAATAGCTCAAAATACATTATATGTATATTTGAAAATGACACAAACCAGTTAGCATGTATAATACATGCTAATAAAACTTTTATAAAAGAGAAATATACAAATGTAGTTGAAAGACACATATTATAATGCAACAAGAAAAAATATACTAATTATATCTTCCTTTCTTCCTTCCAATGCAGATCCTTACCCTGTTTTTTGCCTTGTTGTTCATTTGAGCTTTGCAGTTAGACATTTAATATAAGATAATAGTTGGATTTTACTTTTCCTTAAATGTTATTAGAATCGGTGTGATGGGTTTTCTATCTATAAAACTATCTGATTCAAACTGAATGTATATACTTAGTGTATGAATGTTAAACAACAAACTTCTTTTAATATATTTATTTGTTTTCCTTCCTAAAAATTATAAAGCTTTATGAAGTAGATTTCCTGAAGTATTTATATAACAAACATTTAGTCCCTCATGAGAATTGTGTCCCTGTATCTTTCCAAATCAGATGTGTTGTTGGATATGCAGTTTCTTTTGTTTTGTAAGCATGTTGCATCTTCTGTCCCTTCCATTCCTACCTTATTATTATCATGTGACTTCTGTATGTAGAAGTTGTTATATGAACTTTAATTGATAAAGTGATGGTTAGTTAGTAGTCTAGATCAAAACTGGAAAAGAGTCAAATGAATTTGTTATTAATAAAGGAAGATGTTTGGAAACCATATGATTGTTGTATCAGGAATCAGCATCTGTGAAATATACTTCAGCTTGAATCTTTCTGCTAACAGGGAGTACCTGGCCCTCAATGTTTACGTGGCCCTCTGCTACTACAAATTGGATTACTATGATGTCTCCCAAGAAGTCCTGGCTGTTTACCTTCAGCAAATTCCTGATAGTACCATCGCACTCAACCTTAAGGCTTGCAATCACTTTCGCCTTTACAATGGAAAAGCAGCTGAGGTAGGCATGTAGATGTGTGTTTCTAATTAGCTCAGGTCTAATGGGAATTACTTTATAACAGTTCCCAGGTTAGTCCATAAATTCTAGGATTTAAAGCTCTGTAGCAATGCTCCTTGGTCATTGCCAGTGTGATTCTATAACCAAATAAGTATATAAACTTTTTTTTTTTTTTTGATTTTTGAAACTGGGTTTCTCTGTAGCTTTGGTGCCTGTCCTGTCTTGTAGTTCAAGCTGGCCTCGAACTCACAGAGATCCGCCTGCTTCTGCCTCCCAAGTGCTGGGATTAAAGGCGTGCACCACCACCACCCGGCTAAATATTTTTTTGAGACAGGGTCTCACTATGTAGTTCTGGTTGGCCTCCAACTCCTTATGTAGACCGTGTTGGCCTTAACCACACACAGATCTGCCTTCCTTTGCCTCTGTGAATTCCAATTCAGTCTGATCAATATGGAGAGTTCCAGGCCAGCCTAGTCTACATGGACCTCTGTTAACAGAACCTACAGGAGAAAAGAAGACTGTTACCAAGAAGCTGTGTTTGACTCTGTTCTCGTCTGTCTAGATCTTTTATTTTTTAAAGCATTCTCAGGCTTTATGTGGAAATTCTTGCCAAACATTTGGGTGCCATTTGTAGATGGACGTTTCTGTCCTGTCCAGTCCTGCATCTCTTCAGTCCCAAAGAAACACCCAGAGGCTTATATTAATTATAAAATGTTTAGACTATTAGCTCAGATTTATTATTAACTAGCTCTTAAAACTTAAATTAATCTATAATTCTTGCCTATGTTTAGCCATATGGCTTGGTACCTTTTCTCAGTGAGGCATTCTCATCTTGCTTCCTCTGTATCTGGCTAGTGACTCATCTCTGCCTTTCCTCTTCCCAGAATTCTCCTAGTCTGGTCACCCTTCCTATACTTCCTGCCTGACAACTAGCCAGTAAGCATTTTATTAAACCAATATGAGTGACAAATCTTTACAAGGTAAAGAGCATTATCTCACAGCAGATAAGTGCATTAAAATGTACTTGATAGTGGAAGTGTAAAATCCAATGTGAAGCTCTATGGATTCAGAACTGCTATTCAAACTGTATAGAAGGTCATTGTGATGTATAGACTTTGAGTCTGGTTAATTCTGGTATATGAATTTTTGCAAGTTTTTAATAATAGAGATAATAAAATTAGAAAAAAGAATATAGTAACAATGGTAAGACTGAAAAATCAAAGGCTTAACTTCTAAGTCTTTGACACAGAAAATAAAGATTAACCCTAGGAGTCTTAAAACTAACCTGCACAACTTTTAAATGTCTTACTGAGTATGAGGCTCGAGACACTTAACTTTAGAGTGCCATGTAGTCCAGGGTAGCTTCAAATTTGCTACGTAGGCAAGGATGACCTTGAACTTCTGATCTGCTTCTATTTCTAGAGTCCTGAGATTACAGATATGTACCAACACTTCCAGTTATGAGGTGCTCAGGATCAAACTCAGGGCTTCTTGCATGCTAGGCAAACATGCTACAGAGCTACAACCCCAGCCTCCAAAACACTTAACTTTCATTAATGAGTCAATGATGTCAGCCGGGCGGTGGTGGCACATGGCTTTAATCTCAGCACTCAGAAGGCAGAGGCAGACAGGTCTCTGTGAGTTCGAGGCCAGCCTGGGCTACAAGAGCTAGTTCTAGGACAGGCTTCAAAACTACAGAGAAACTTTGCCTCAAAGAACCAAAGCCAAACAAACAAATAAATAAATGATGTCATCTGTAAAATGTGGATAATAGTAATTATATTGACTGAGAGCCCCAAGGATCAAGTGAAATAGCATGTTATACTCTTTGTAAACTATAAAGCATTATATAGATATGTGACATAAGAACTATATACCCTTGAGGCTGGAGAGATTGATCAATGATTGAAAACATATACTGCTCTTGCAGAGGACCTGAGTTTAGTTCCCAAAGCCCATGTTGGATGATTCACAACCACCTATAACTCCAGCTCCAGAGGTTTCTGATACTCTGGCCTTAGGGAGTACCCATACTCACATGCACACATCCACACAGAGATGCACACACATATACATAATTTAAGAGAATAATAAGCTAGGTGTGGTGGCGCACGCCTTTAATCCCAGCATCAGGAGGCAGAGGCAGGCGGATCTCTGTAAATTCAAGTTCAGCCTGGTATATATAGCAAGTTCCAGGACAGTCAGGACTGCATAGAGAGAACAAAAATAAATCAAAAATAAATAAATATAATAACAAAGTAAATCCTAAAAAATAAGAACTATATGCTTATTATTTGATATGTCTTTCCTTTTTATATTTCAGGCAGAACTCAAAAGCTTGATGGACAATGCCTCTTCACCCTTTGAATTTGCAAAAGAACTCATCAGGCACAATCTGGTGAGTAAGGTTCCCATCTTGATTGACTTGAGTCCTGTTTTATTTGGTACATCACAGCAATTAAAGATGAATAAAAGGAGATTCCAGCTGGGTGGTGGTGGCACATGCCTTTAATCCCAGCATTCAGGAGACAGAGGCAGACAGATCTCTGTGAGTTTGAAACCAGCCTGGGCTACAAGAGCTAGTTCCAGGACAGGCTCCAAAGCTACAGAGAAACCCTGTCTCGGAAAAAAAAAAAAAAAAAAAGAAAAAAAAAAAAGGAGATTCCCCAGCAAATATTGCGCTACTCCAAGGAATGCCTCATTATTGTGAAAAGGGATGAAATGAATTTCTAACACCAGTCTCTTTCCTTGGGGAACCTCTTATTAGGAGGGCAGAATGTTTGGAAAGAAGAGCAAAGCAAGGCAGACCCAAGTGTCCCTTGTCCTTGGGGGACCAGAGGAACATATCCTCATGTATTAGAATAATGGGGACAATTGTTTAATCCTTGAAGATTGGCTGAGTTTTCGAGGGTTCATTCTAATCTAGATAGGGTATGAATCTAGAGCAAGTGTGACGTGTGTAAGATGACCAGGGATGATTGTACAGAGTAGTAGTCTAGAGGGAGTGGAGGGTAAAGCTGGGTGAGCAATGGTATAGGGCTAGACCATGATGACCATTGCTTAAAATAAATCTAAGCTCGGATGAAGTTGTATTCTACCAGTCATGCAACATAATGAGATGCAGACTGTGTGCTCCCAAGTCACGTACCTGGAGCACTAAGCAAATGATTTTGTATGATGAGTCAGCCTCCTCATCTGAATACAGTGGTAACAAAAACTACAGCTTCTTTAATGGCTTTGTTTGTTTCCTCTTCCTCCTCCTTTTCCTATTGAGACAAGATCTCACTACATAGCCCTAGCTGACCTGGAACTCTGTATAGAACAAGCTGGACTGGAACTCTGTATAGATCAGGTTGACCTGGAACTCCCCATATACAGGCTGGCCTTGGAACTCTGTTTAGACCAGGCTGGCCTGGAACTCTCCATAGACCAGGCTGGCCTAGAACTCTGTATAGACCAGGCAGGCCTGGAACTTGCCATAGACCAGGCAGGCCTGGACCTCGCCATAGACCAAGCTGGCCTGGAACTCTTAGAGAGCCATCTGTTTTTGCCTCTCCACTGCTGACATTAAAGGCATATGTCACTGTACTCAGCCAAGCCTATTCTTTGAGGCCATGTATAGACTTTTACACTCATGGCATCAACAGCAGTACTCAAAATTCCAGTTCTTAGGGGTGTTCAGTGTGTAGTGACCCCAGCCTGCCTGCTGAGCCGTCTTGTTTTTAGCTTTTCTGTGTAACCCCACCATCTGATGGAATACTGCCAGTGGTGGTGTGGTTTTTACCACCCTCTTAAAACCTGCAGTGTCAAACCACAGAGAAGCATGGATCAACAAAAGCATGGAACACCAAAAAATCCTTTAGTTGAAGGGGTACATTTGTGACTCTTGAGAGTAACTTCACTAGGGTGCTGGGAGCAAACACAAATTTGGGGGATGCTGAGGAGTGACAGGGTAAGAGGAAATTAGCAGTTAACCACAGCTTTTGAAGTTTACCATTGAAAGGAAAAAATAGGGCATTCTCCAGAGGGAACAAAGGAACCAAGTAGAGATTTGACAAGAGAACAAAAACCCTTGTATGTGTGTGTGCTTCAAGCTGAGAAGTGGGGCTGCTGCTTTGGGAAGACTGAAGATACAGTGGTTAATGGAGAACCGGAGTCAGATGGAGTTTGAAGCGATAAGATCAAGGGAGCAGATGAAGTCCCCTTGTTAAAGGAAGGGACAGAAAAAGGAACCAGAAAAAATGATCAACATGACTATTCTGAGGGTAAAATTATGTAGTCCGTGCCTGATAACCTTAGTTTCAGTGTATTTATAGACAGTTTACCACGGTCTGAACATTTGCTAGGCTGTGTGGACAAATTGTTTTAAATGTTTTATTCCATTTCTGTGTGTATGTATGGGTATGTGTTTTCATGGTGCACATGTGAACTTGTGGTGGTCAGAGAACAACCTTCTGGAATTAAGAATGTAGGTACTAGCCAGGCAGTGGTGGTACATGCCTTTCATCCCAGCACTCAGGAAAGCAGAGACAGGTGGATCTCTGTGAGTTTGAGACCAGCCTGGTCTACAGAGTGAGTTCCAGGACAGCCAGAGATAACACAGAGAAACCCTGTCTCAAAAAAAACAAAAAAGAAAAAAGAATGAGTCCTAGAGATTGAACTCAAGTTGTCTGTCTTCTCATCATTTTCTTATCAATTTTTTAGCCATATTTATTAACTGATTTATTGTGTGTGCATGTGTACACAGTAAGCATGTGTACCGTGGCATGCATGTGGTAGTCAGAGGACTATTGTGGGCATTAGTTCTCTCCTTCTGTCACCACCCCAGGCTCCTTAGCGTTTCCAGTGGTGACCGTGTGCGCCTGTGCTGTTACAGTACACTGTCTCTATGGTGGCCCTGTGCGCCTGTGCTGTTACAGTACACTGTCTCTATGGTGACCATGTGCTCCTGTGCTGCTACAGAACACTCTCTCTATGCAGGTTGTTTTCCGAGGAGGCGAGGGGGCTTTGCAGGTTTTACCTCCCCTGGTTGACGTCATTCCTGAAGCTAGGCTAAACCTAGTGATTTACTACCTTCGCCAAGGTAAGGAAAACTTGTCGTGCTCTGACTTAGGAAGAAAAATATTTTTGAATATTTAATCTGATTGAATCAGTTGTTTACATTCTACACACACTTCCAAATACGTATTTGCAACAGTGTCGTGAACAGATTTCATGGCACTCATGAGCTGTGCCTCTTCTTCCTCACCCTGCTCTTCTCTTTACTCTTCTGTCCTCTGTCGAGTTCCCGTGGGGTCTTCAATGTTTTTCTCCCTCTAATTTTAATTTTTCTTGTTTGCGTTTTATGAAAATGTACATTCACATTTTCTTGTGTTTTTTGTTTGCTTTAAAACTCTCAGCTTTTGGTTGCTGGAGAGATGGCTCAGTGGTTAAGAGCACTGACTGTTCTTCCAGAGGACCCGGGTTCAATTCCCAGCACCCACATGGCTACCCACAACTGTCTACTATCCAGTTGCAGGGGATCTGACACCTTCATACCAATGCACATAAAAATAATGTTAAATATACCATAAAAATATTTTTTAAAAAAAGTTAAAAAAAAAAACTCTCAGCTTTTATATTTCCTCACGGTGGCTGCATCTCTTCTCTGGAGTGCAGGAATCCAGTGAGAGGTGCCTGGTTCCTGGAGCAGCTCTTCCAGAACTTAGCAGAGAAGGGCGCTTGGCCACGGGCCTTAAACCAGCAGTGCAGCCTTTTCGGTTCATGGTAGAGGCAAACCAGGCAACTTATGCCTCCTTACTGAGAAAAACGTGTATTTTGTGGGAACATGTATTACAAACAGTCCCCTCTATATGACAGATAAGCAAAAAGAAATTTGGTTATAGATATGAATTAATGAAAAAGTGAATATATTTTACAAATTATTTTGTGAAAAATTTCTAGTATAAACAAAAACAAATTATAGAACCTCCAAAGCCTACAGATTACATACTTTTTATGCTGGGGCGGTAGCACATGACTTTGATCCCTCCACTTTGAAGGCAGAAGCATATGGCTCTTTGAGAACTCAAAGCCAGCCTGTTCTGCACAAAGAGTTCCAGGACAGCCATTGCTATTTCACTCTTGTGTATGGAATACATACTTCTTTTAGAAAAAAAGGAAGGGGACTTTTTGTTTTTGAAGCTAGGATTCCTCTGTGTAACAGCTCTGGCTATCTTAGAACTATGTAGACCAGGCTGGCCTTGAACACACAGATCTGCCTGCCTCTGTCTCCTGAGTACTGGAATTAGAAGTGTGTGCCACCATGCCTGGCCCAGTCTGGAGTCTTAATTTGAGCATTTTTTATGTGTCTTGTGGTTCAGTGTGAGTTTTCTAAAGATAATTGTTTTCTTGGGTCAGGGCACAGCTCAGTCCATAAAGTGCTTACTTTGAAAGCCAGGAGGACCTGGGTTCCAGCTCCAGGCTGGGTTGTCCTCTGGCCTTCACACATATTCGCACATGCACATGCATATACACACATGCATTTTTTGAGAAGAAAAATATCTGTTTTCTTTAGGATAACTACACAGCCTTCAACTTGATAGAGAATTAAAGGTCAAGTAAAACATCACATTTTCTGTGTGTGTGTTTGTGTGTACACACACGTGTGTGGCCTTGCACAGGCTGTAAAAGCACTCTATTCCTAAGCTGTCCCCTACTTTGTGTGACTGTCTGAATGCTGCAGACTCCAGTTCTCTAGGAACGGCTGCAGCAAGCTCATGTAGCACAAGCTTATCTAATGACTGACTGACTCTTTACATTGCAGACGACGTACAGGAAGCTTATAGCTTAATCAAGGATCTGGAGCCTACGACGCCTCAGGTAAGTGGAGGTGCCATGCACTTCCGTTAGCCATGGGCTGCAGAGAGCAGCACTACAGGCCATAGCTGTAGGGTGCAGCAGAGAAGAGTCCCGCTGTAGTGTCCAGGAAGACTATCAATGGCTTGGGGGGACTTCAGGATGACAGTGATTTTTCTGGACTTTGTTTTTTTTTTAATGTGGCTCAAGTTCCTTAATATCTATTTTATTCCTAAAAAGGTCTAAAGTTTGAAAATATTAAAATCTGTTTTAAAAAATTTACATCTATAGTACTAATGGAATAAACAACTCCTAACTTGTCTCTAATATTGGTGTCTGCAGCTTGTCTCTCTTCCCTCAGTAAGCTGCTCACTCCCTGCAGTCAGGAACTGTGTGCTAAGTACATAGTAAGCATCCCTTCACTGAGTACAAGACTGCATGAGGCCAGCAAGATGGCTTAGTGGGTAAAAGCTCCTGCCATCAAGCCTGACGACCTGAGTTCAGTCCCTGGAATCCACATGGTAGAAGGAAAGTGACAAATCCCACACTTTTCCTCTGACCTCCACACGCATGCTATAGCGTGTACATGCACACACACCCATAAACACACACGTGCACAACACACACTGAATAAATGTTAAAAAAAAAAAAGAAGAAACAAAAGACAGGAAAACAATCTGAATATAAAACACTTCCCAACTGGATAGAACCTAAACAAGTCTTTTTCTCAAGGGCACTAAAGGCTACCTAGAATGAGCCCTCTTAATGAGTTAATGATATTTCTAAGGAAAGCATTATTAAAATTTTGAGCCAAGACTGAAAAAAATAGGGTACAGATGAGGCCACAGGCCACCGAAAGAGAAAGTATCAGATGTTCAGGGAAAGGGCCAAAGCGTACTTATTGTGACCCTGGAGAGAGGGAATGACATACGGGTAGTAGTCATTTTCCCCCAAGCAGTGTCTCCGCTGTTCTTTGAGACAAGGTCTCCCACTGGCAGGGGCTCACTGACTAGGTGAGCCTGGCTTGCCTATCAAGCCCCAGAAATCTGCCTGTTTTCATCTCTCTAGGAGTGGGATTACAATTTCTGTGGGGCCTGGGGGATTGAACTGGGGTTCTCATGCTACATGGTAAGTCCTTTGCTGTCTGAGCCATTTCCCATGTGTTTCTACTTAGGACTGAGCTTTTACAATGATAAACTCTTCTCTATGAGCACTTGCCTGCTAGAAGTCAAACCAAACTCCGCTTCCTTCCATAAGCCAGGGGTAGAGCAGGGACAGGGATTTCATAGCAGGTAGAGTAGAGTTGGTCAAGGGGCCACCAGGAAATCCCACACAATTGATTTATGGCGTGATTGTGTTTTCCAGGAATACATTCTCAAGGGAGTTGTTAATGCAGCCCTTGGCCAGGAAATGGGTTCGGTGAGTATGAAATCATTAGCAATCCATACTTTGCCAAGTTCTGGTTATGTAAAAACTGGAATGGATGTGCAACCAATGGCAAGCTTACAATCACTGCGTTCTTCTGCAGGTCCTTGTACTTTTATTGTTGGGGGTGGGGTGCTAGGAAGCAAACCCTGTGCTAGGTATATACTTGCTTTGAGACATATCCTTGGTCCTTCAGTTTCTTATAATTCTTTAAACCCTCAAGTCCAGGATCCCTGCAAAAAACAGTTCTATTATGTAGAGATTTTTAGCTTTAGTCCATAAAACTTGCTATTTTGTTTCAAAGAGCCCCAATGTAATATGGTCATCTCTTTACTGATGAACACAGAAAATGGATTTGGTACCTAGAAAATGGGAAAAATTCTTTTTTTTTTTTTTTTTTTTTNAGCTTTGGAGCCTGTCCTGGAACTAGCTCTTGTAGACCAGGCTGGTCTCGAACTCACAGAGATCCGCCTGCCTCTGCCTCCCGAGTGCTGGGATTAGGAAAAATTCTTTCTTTAGAAAAGCTTTTAAGGTACTGGGGATATGCCCCCATCTTTTCTAAAAAAGCTGTTTTGTTTTGTTTTGTTTTTTAATTTTGGTTTCATGAGATAGGGTCTTTTGGTTTTAAGAGACAGGGTCTCAAATACTATATCCCCAGGATGGCCTTGAATTCATACCAATCTTCAGTCTTCAGCCTCCCCCAAAGCTTAGTGAGCTGCTGCTGCTGCTGCTGCTCCTCCTCATCCTCTTCCTCCTCCTTCTTCTTCTTCCTTCGTTCTTTTTTTCTTCTTTTTTGGTTTTGTTTTTTGTTTGTTTTTATTGATAGGATTTGTGCTGAAACGCTCTCTGTAGGCCAGGCTGGCCTCAAACTCAGAGATCCCCCTGCTTCTGGAGTAGTGGGTTTAAAGTCATGTGCCGCCACTGCCCAACTAAAGAGCTTCATATAACTAAGAAAGCAGTCTAAAGTTAGGCTGCTGTTGGGCATGGTGGCAGATACCTATAACTACAGACTTGGGAGGCCAAGGCAAGAGGATCTCAAGTTCAAGGACACCCTGAGATTTATAGTGCAGCCCTTTCTCAGCAACAGACAGGCAGACAGATAAACTAAGGTTTCTATCCATGTTAATGTTGCATATTAAGTTCTTAATGGGGCTGGAGAGATGGCTCAGCGGTTGGGAGCACTGCCTGCTCTTCCAGAGGCCCTGAGTTCAATTCCCAGCAACCACATGCTGGCTCACAACCATCTGTAATGAGGTCTGGTGCCCTCTTCTGGCCTGAAGGCATACACACAGACAGAATATTGTATATATAAAATAAATAAATATTTTTTAAAAAAAGAAAAAAAAGAAATATTTAAAAAAAAGTTCTTTATGAAACAAAGAATACAATAACGACTTTCATCTCTAGATCTCTCCATGTAGGCAGCAAATATTTATTGCATAAATAAATAAGTCTAATGATCCTTGTTATGCCTATGGCTTCTGTACAAAGTTCAGGCACAGTCAGAGAGTGTGTTACATATTTATTGAATGTGGTAATTAATTTATTTAATGCAAGGGTTTTAGGGTGAAATTTCAAGGTTGGATTCTTCTTCTCTAATTGACTCTAAGTTTTCACAAAATTTCTTGGTGCTTGTAATAATAAGCTAATAAGAACTTGAGCATGATTTAAAACAAGGATATTTGTTAAATGACATACAGGAAAGTGCATTGTAATCTTAAGTATAATACAAATAAAATATTTGTGCTCTTTTCCTCTCTATCTGTTCTGTTCTGTTTTGCAGAGGGATCATATGAAAATTGCCCAGCAGTTTTTCCAGTTGGTGGGAGGATCAGCTAGTGAATGCGGTATGTCACAATCTGTCCTTTTGAAAACAATTTATAATTGGAGTTGGGCGAGATTGACTAGTGGAGTCTGACTGTCGAGGGACATGTCATGCTTCTCAATATGAAACAAGGGGTTGGAACCGGAGAGGAAGGCTGAGGATGTAGCTCATTTTGTAGCATGCTCACCTAGCACTCACAAGCTCTTGGGTTTGATCTCTAGCACCACACAAAGTGCACATGATAGCTGATACCTATAATTCTAGCCCTCAGAAGACAGAGACAGGATGATCAGAAGTTTAAGAAAACCTTGCTCCACCGTGAGAACCAGCCTGGTATATAGGAAACTGTTGCAACAATGACACACAAATAAACACAACAATAAAATAAAATATTAGAATTATCCCTTTTAGCTGGGCGGTAGTGGCACATGCACAGATCTCTGTGAGTTTGAGGCCAGCCTGATCTACAAGAGCTAGTTCCAGGACAGGATGCAAAGCTATAGAAAAACCCTGTTTCTAAAAAAAAAAAAAAAGAAAAGAAAAAAAGAATTATCCCCTTTGAACATGTTAGTGGTTAAGAACATTTGCTGCTCTTACAGAGGATTCAAATTCAATTCCCAGCACCCACTCAGGTGGTTCACAACTGCCTGTAACTCCAGCTCCAAAGGATCCAGTATTCCTTTCTGGACTTCATAGGTATCTGCATGCACACGTGCACATAATTAAAAACAAAAGTAGGTTAGTTTAAAAGGGGGGCGGGGCTAGGCAGTGATGGTGCATGCCTTTAATCCTAGTTCTCAGGAGATCTCTGTGAGTTCGAGGCCAGCCTGATCTACAGAGTGAGTTCCAGGACAGCGAGGGAGGGCTACACAGAGAAACCCTGTCTTGGGAGGGAAAAAAAAGGTTATGGGCTAGAGAAATGGCCTATCAGTTAAGAGCACTGTCTGGTTCTTACAGAAGATCCGAATTCAATTCTCAGTACCCACATGACAACTAATTCCAGTCCCAGGGAATGGATGTCCTTTTCTGGCCTCTATGGGAACCAGGAATACATATGTGATCCACAGATATAAGTTTAGGCAAAACACTCATACACATAAAAAATAAGTACAATTTTTAAAAGAGTGGTGTAAGAATAAATTTTAAAAAAACAGGAATGTAGCACAAATAATAAAAAACCAGAGATAGATATTGGGATTCAACCTGAAGATCAAAAAAGCAAAGCAGGGGCTGGAGAGATGGCTCAGCGGTTAAGAGCACTGCCTGCTCTTCCAAAGGTCCTGAGTTCAATTCCCAGCAACCACATGGTGGCTCACAACCATCTGTAATGAGGTCTGGTGCCCTCTTCTGGCCTGCAGGATACAGACAGAATATTGTATACATAATAAATAAATAAATAAATA